AGGCTGGCCTTGAACTTCTGGCCATCCTACTGCTACAGACTCCTGGGTACTGAGATTATAGGTGTGTTACACAACACATGGCCAGAAGTACACAATTTTAATGAAGTGCAACCTTAAAGCCTTTCCTTTTGTAATTAGTATTCATGTGTCCTATTTGTGAAAATTTTTCTTACCTGAAAATCAGGAAAATAGCATTTATTGTTTCCTTCTAAAACCTTATTTAGTTCTAAATTTAAAATTACAATCTACCTGTAATTAGTTACTTACCAGGGAAATTATAAACTAAAACTATGGAGACTTACCATTACATATCTATCACAATGGAAAGAAAAAAACAAGTAATATCAAGTGATGGTGAAGGCAGAGAACATATATACATACACTATCCTGGTAGGAGGACAAATTGGTACAACCAATTTTACAAATATATTTTATTAATGCCTATTAATTTTGCAAAATACTGGATTACAATACATGCATTTTTATCATATCTTCCCCCTCATGCCTCTGCCTTCCATCCCCCTCTACCTCCTCCTTCCATCCCACTCTGCCTCATCCTTCTCTTTATTCCCTTCCTCTTGTCTAATAGTATCAGGCTTTCTATTTTCATGTCATGTTTTGTACATTGCACATATCAGACAAAACATGCAATACTTGTTTTTTATAGTGTGGCTTTTTAGTTTTTAAAGGACACTCCATACTCATTCACATAAAGTCTGTACTAATTAATATCTCTTCCCTGCATCCTTGCTAGAGTTTTATTGCTTTTCATATTCTTAAAGATGGCTATTCTGACTTGGGTAAGATGGAATCTCAATGTAGTTTTGATGACCACTTCCCCAATGGTTCACATTGTTGAACATGCTTAGTGGTCATTTGTACTTCTTCTTTGAGAAATTTACTGATTGGGCTTTCTATCTTTTTGGTGTTTTTTTTTGTGTTCTTTATATATTCTAGATATTAACGGCCTATCAGAAGACTAGCAAAGATTTTCTACCTGTCAGCTATCTCCTCATTCAGTTGTTTCCCTTGCTGTGCAGAAACTTTTAAATTTAATGGAACCCCATTTATTGATTCTAGCCAGTATTTCCTTTGACAATGAAGTCCTATTAAGAAAGTCTTTACTTGTGTCTACTGCTTGAAGTGTTTCCCCTGTTAGCTTTTAGCAGTTTGTAAGTTTCAAGTCTTAATACCTAGGTCCTTGATCCAGTTAGAAATGACTTTTGTGGGTGAGAGACAGGTCTAGTTTTGATCTCCTACATAGGGATATCTGGTTTCATCAGCACTATTTGTTAAACAAGCTATCTTTTCTCCAACCTAATTTATAAAAATTTTAATTAGTACATGTCTACAACACATAATTACAGCAATGGTGGGAAAATGGTACATGTATATAACACATCTGAATTCTCTTTTTGTCTCCTACCTACCCCTCCCTTCTACTTCATGGTTACCTTCTTTTATTACTTATTTATTTTGGACTTTTGAGACTACTCGCTGTGTAGTTCAGGCTGGCCTTGAACTCCTGATGACTGATCCTCCTGCCTCAGATTTCCAAGTCTTCGGATGGTAGGCATGTGCCACCACAACCAGCTCCCCTTCCCTTTTGTAAAATGTCTCCATTTCCTATTATCTACCTTTTATTTTGCTCTTTCCTTATATTTTTGGTTTCACATATAAGAGAAACCAGGTGATATTGAAGCTTGTCGTCTACTATATTTCACTTAATGTTATGGTCTCAAGGTGCATCCATTTTCCTACAAATGACTCATATTTATCTTTTTTTATGGTTGAGTACTCCATTGTGTATAAATACCACATTTTCTTTATCCAGCCATTTGTTGATGGAAATATAAGCCACTTCAAAATTTAGGCATTATGAACTGTGCTGCTATAAACATGGGTATGCATACATCACTGTAATGTGATGTCTTCAACTCTTTTGGAACATACCTAAAAGAGGAATAGCTGAGTGGAATGGAATTTCTACTTTTACTTTTTGAGGAATCTCCCTACTGATTTCTAAAGTAGTTGTACTAGCTTACATTCCCACCAACAATGTAGAAGAATTCCTTTTTCCCCACTGCCTCACCAGTATTTGTTATTATTTCATTTGTTGATGACAGCCAATTTTTCTGGAGTAAGATGGAAACCCAGTGTTGTTTTAATTTGCATTTCTCTAATGGGCAGATATGTCTAACACGTTTTGATGTATTTATTAGCCATTGTATATCTTCTGAGAAGTGTCTATTGATTTCAGTGGACCAATTTTTGATTGGGTTTTTTACTTTGGGAGGTTTACTTCTTTTCAGTTCTACATTCTAGATCTTAGTCCTATGGGTGAGGAGTAGATGATTAAATTTTTTGATTCTGTAGGTTGTCTCCTGATTTTACTGGTTGTTTCATTTGCTCTGAAGAAGATTCTTAATTTGGTACAGTGTTAATCCCACTTGGTAATTCTTGATACTATTTCTTGTACAATTTGGGGCTCCATTCAAAAAGTCCTTG